ATGCTTTTAAAACAGCTTTTGATGTTTGTAGAAATCTTCATATCAGTTGATATTTATAAAAGTTTGGGAGTTCAATTCAATTCAGTTTATTTATATATTGCCAATTTACAAAAAAAAAAAAAAATTCAGTTCAATCAGACATATTCAAAGTTACATCCATTCCAATTCGATCCTAGTTATGAAACAATGCAGTCAAATTTAGTTCATTATTCAGATTTGTTGAAAGGTTTTGTATCTAAGTTTAGTTTAGTTTAGTTTATTAGTTATTTGTCAAGGACTATGTACAAAAACATTAATCTCACAATGAGATGAGGTGCTTTGACCCAGATTTAGCTAAAGCTACTTTCCATCTGCAGTCCCTGGGCAAGAGTGCACAATAAAACAATTCACAATACAGAAAATTACCATTCTCTCATTTAAAATACGTACTTTGCAGTTCTTATACAATTACAAAACACATTACCTAAAAAGGTTAATTAGCCTAAAATGATAAACACAAAAATACTAGGTACAAATAGATCAACAGTAGGTAATAAGGAATAAAAGGTATACACAACATTAGGACTGATGTTGACACAGTTGATTATTATTAATAATGTGTTTTTTTAGGTTATGAGAAAATGTTTGCAGATCTACACATAAATTCCATTGTTTGATGGATTTAAATGAAAAAGCTGATTGTGCAAACGTAGGACAACTTTTTTGGACAACACAGTTTTTGCGTGAAATGGACCTAGTTATCCCGGTTGCTTGATCGGAACATAGTTGAATGAATTTCTTTAATGAAGGGGGAGCAATTTTATTAACAATTTTGAAAATAATTCGTATATTTAAGTATTGAACTAAACTATTGAAGCAAATTGTACTTGCTAAGGATGTTACAATGGTGATAATGAAGTGTTTTTTGGTCTTACACCTTAAGTGCTTGGTTGTAGTGAGATCTGAGTGATTTCAGTGTGGTCCCATTAGCCTGAGACCAACAAGAAATGGAATCAATGATGTGAGAAACAAACATAGCATCCATAGAGTCCATTGTATATTAACAGGTCAGAAATAAACCCGGTCTTTAGAAATTTTGCAGTATCTCTGATTTTCATTAATTTCCATAATTCGTCATTCACCCAAGGTAAGACCATTTTACTGTTTTTCCTTCCCTGTATTACTCTGGAGTATTTAGAAACAAGCTGCTCAACTCGTACTCGTACTCGTCGTCTTCCGCTTTATCCGGGACCGGGTCGCAGGGGCAGCAAACTCAGCAGAGACACCCAGAGGTCCCTCTCCCCAGACACCTCCTCCAGCTCCTCCGGGGGGAGCCCAAGGCGTTCCCAGGCCAGCTGAGAGACATAGTCCCTCCAGCGTGTCCTGGGCCGTCCCCTGGGCCTCCTCCCGGTGGGACGTGCCTGGAACACCTCCCGAGGAAGGCGTCCAGGAGGCATCCGGTATAGATGCCCGAGCCACCTCAACTCGCTCCTCTCGATGTGGAGGAGCAGCGGCTCTACTCCAAGCCCCTCCCGAATGGCCGAGCTCCTCACCGTATCTCTAAGGGAGTGCCCTACCCTACGGAGGAAGCTCATTTCAGCCGCTTGTATCCGGGATCTCGTTCTTTCGGTCATGACCCAAAGTTCATGGCCATAGGTGAGGGTAGGAACGTAGACTAACCGGTAAATCGAGAGCTTCGCTTTTCGGCTCAGGTCTCTCTTCACCACAACGGACCAGCACAGTGCCCTCATTACTGCGGCACCGCACCGATCCGTCTGTCAATCTCCCGCTCCATTCTTTCCTCACTCGTGAACAAGACCCCGAGATACTTGAACTCCTCCACTTGAGGCAGGAACTCCCCTCCAACCTGAAGAGGAGAAACCACCCTTTTCCGTTCGAGTACCATGGCCTCTGACTTGGAGGAGCTGATCTTCATCCGGGCCGCTTAACACTCAGCTGCGAACCGCCCCAGCGCATGCTGTAGGTCTTGGCTAGAGGGGGCCAGCAGGACCACGTCATCTGCAAAAAGAACAGACGAAATCCACTGGTCCCCAAACCAGATCCCCTCCGACCCTTGGCTGCGTCTAGAAATACTGTCCATAAAAGTTATGAACAGGACCGGTGATAAAGGGCAGCCCTGCCGGAGTCCAACATGCACCAGGAACAGGTCCGACTTAGTGCCGGCAATGCGGACCAAACTCCTGCTCCGCTCATACAGGGACCGGATGGCCCCTAATAAAGGACCCCCGATTCCATACTCCTGGAGCACCCCCCACAAGGCATCACGAGGGACACAGTCGAATGCTTTCTCCAGGTCCACAAAACACATGTGAACCGGTTGGGCAAACTCCCATGAACCCTCGAGTACCCTGTAGAGGGTATAGAGCTGGTCCAGTGTTTCACGGCTGGGATGAAAACCACACTGCTCCTCTTGAAGCCGAGGTTCGACTATCGGCCGGACTCTCCTCTCCAATACCCTGGCGTAGGCCGTACCAGGGAGGCTAAGGAGTGTGATCCCCCTGTAGTTGGAACACACCCTCCGGTCCCCCTTCTTATGAAGGGGGACCACCACCCCAGTCTGCCAGTCCAGAGGGACTGTCCCCGACCGCCACGCAATGTTGAAGAGGCGCGTCAACCATGACAGCCCCACAACATCCAGAGATTTAAAGGTACTCAGGGCGGATCTCATCCACCCCCGAAGCCTTGCCACCGCGGAGCTTTTTAACCACCTCGGTGACTTCAGCCTGGGTGATGAAAGAGTCCAACCCCGAGTCCCCAGCCTCTGTTTCCACCAGGGAATGCATGATGGCAGGATTGAGGAGATCCTCGAAGTACTCCTTCCACCGCCCGATAATGTCCCCAGTCGAGTTCAGCAGCCTCCCGCCCCCACTATAAACAGTGTTGGCGAAGCACTGCTTCTCCCTCCTAAAGCGCTGGAGGGTTTGCCAGAATCGCTTCGAGGCCAACCGGTAGTCCTTCTCCATGGCCTCACCGAACTTCTCCCAGGCCCGAGTTTTTGCCTCTGCCACAGCCTGGGCCGCGGCACACTTGGCCTCACGGTACCCGTCAGCCACCTCAGGAGTCCCACAAGCCACCCACAGCCGATATTACTCCTTCTTCAGCTTGACAGCATCCCTTACTGCCGGTGTCCACCACCGGGTTCTGGGATTGCCGTCGCGACAGGCACCGCAGACCTTACGGCCGCAGCTACTGGCAGCAGCCTCAACCATAGATGCGGAGAACATGGTCCACTCGGACTCTGTGTCTCCAACATCCCCCGGAATCTGGCCGAAGCTCTCCCGGAGCTGGGAGTTGAATACATCCCTGGCCGAGGGCTCCACCAGGCGTTCCCAGCAGACCCTCACTATGCGCTTGGGCCTGCCAAGTCTGTCCGGCTTTCTCCTCCTCCAGCGGATCCAACTCACCACCAAGTGGTGATCAGTGGACAGCTCAGCCCCTCTCTTCACCCGAGTGTCCAAAACATGCGGCCGAAGTTCTGATGATACGACAACAAAGTCGATCATTGACCTCCTGCCTAGGGTGTCCTGGTGCCAAGTGCACTGATGGACACCCTTATGCTTGAACATGGTGTTCATTATGGACAATCCGTGACAAGCACAGAAGTCCAATAACAAAACACCCCTCGGATTCAGATCGGGGAGGCCATTCCTCCCGATCACGCCTCTCCAGGTGTCACTGTCGTTTCCCACGTGGGTGTTGAAGTCCCCCAGCAGAATAATGGAGTCCCCGGGAGGGGCACTATCCAGCACCTCCGACAGGGACACCAAGAAGCCAGGTACTCTGCACTACCGCTCGGCCCGTAGGCCGAAACGACAGTCAGAGACCTATCCTCAACCCAAAGGCGCAGGGATGTGACCCTCTCATCCACTGGGGTAAACCCCAACACGAGACGGCTGAGCTGGGGGGCAACAAGCAAACCCACACCATCCCGCCGCCTCTCCCTGTGGGCCACTCCAGAGTAGAAGAGAGTCCAGCCCCTCTCCAGGAGATGGGTTCCAGAGCCCACGCTGTGCGTGGAGGTGAGCCCGACTATTTCTAGTCGATAACTCTCGACCTCCCGCACAAGCTCAGGCTCCTTCCCCCCCAGTGAAGTAACATTCCACGTCCCTAGAGCCAGCCTAAGCATCTGGGGATCGGGCCGCTGAGGTCTCCACTGCTGCTCAACTGTTTCTATAAAGTCTTTGGTTGCTGCATTGCTGTCTTTATTCATGACTATGTTGTTCCAGTTAATCTGTCTCGCTTCATTGTCAAATAACTCAATATGTTTTTTTGGGATGTGGGATCTAACTTCATTTAAAACTTGTCTGATTGAATTTCTGTAATTTACTTTCAACAATCCTCTAATCACTAACGTTAAATTATGGTCAGATAGACCTGTTATTAAGTTGTACACTTTTGCAATTCTGTCAGCCTTATTTGTAAAAATTAAATCTATAAGCATTTGTGATGACTTTGTAATTCGAGTTGCATTTTTTATTATTTGTGTGTAATTGAACTTCTCAGTAATTTCTTTTAGTTTTTTCCTATTTTGTTTGCCCAACCAATTTATGTTGAAGTCTCCCATCAAAATAACCTCTTTAGCGTTAAATTTTTTTGGATCATTAGAGAGCTGTCCAAAAAACACATCTTTAGCTGAAGGGGGCGTATATAGTACAATAATTATGAATGACATTTCAGGAAACAATCTTATGGTCAGTCTCAAACATTCAAGAGTCTCTCCAACCACTTCAATTTGGGAACACTTAAAACTGTCCTTAATGTAGACCATAACCCCACCCCCTTTACTATGTTCACAGTCACATCTGGAAACATTGTATCCTGGGACCTGGGACATGAATAACACTATTAGGGATTGATGGTTTCAGCCAAGACTCGGACAAACACAGAAAATCAAGAATGGAGTTTGTTAGCAATTGCTCAATTTGTTCAGTTTTAGACAAGACACTCCTGATATTTAGATGTCCACCAAATACTCTTTTAGGTTTTAAGTTTGGGTCCCACGCTGGTGGTGTAGGGGTTAGCACGCAACCACATAAAGAGGCTATAGTCTTCGAAGCAGCTGTCCCGGGTTCAAGTCCCGGACCTGGCGACCTTCTCCAAATGTCTCCCCCTCTCTTTACCCTGTTTCCTGTCTGCCTACTATCAAAAATAAAGGCCTCTAGTGCTGAAAGAATTCTTTAAAAAGAAAAAATTAAATAATGCAGTTTGTTAGGAGTTACTCAATTTGTTCAGTTGCCTTTCTCACACAAAAAGACTGTGACTCAACATACAGTCCACTGTTCCTTAATAACTTTGGCGATTTCCTAGTGTGTACTTGGGAATTTGAGGTTGCAGTACCTGCCAACCTGCGGTCAACACCAGCCGCCATGTTCCTGAACAACAGGAAACCCAGCAAATTGCATCCAGTCAGTGACTTGCAGCATTCACTCCTCCTGGATGAGCATGTAGAGACAATGGACAGTCACTGGCGTTGAGTCAAACCTCCCAGATCTTTGGCCCTTTGTAAAGTTTTTCAACTTATGTGTGGAGGTTTAGATGTCCGTAAAAATGTTGGTATGATAGAATTTATGCTTTTGAACCCTGTCTAGGATCATACATAATTCATTTTAGGGAGGATCACCATTTTCAATGCAGACACTCTTCCCAAGAATGAGGGGGGGGGGGATCTCCACTATCAGGTAAGTAAGTAATGGGATATAACTGAATTGTGTCAGATCATTCAGCCTGTTAGGAATACAGTGCCTTACAGAAGTATTCAACCCCCTTGGTATTTTTCATGTTTCCTTGCTTAACAGACAGACATACAGACAGACAGACATAAGAAAACATATACATATTTATATATAAACGCACACACACACGCACACACACGGACAGAGAGAGCCTACAGATATCTATACTGTTGAACTTGTCAAAGCACAGTCATGTATTTGTTGTCATTTTCAGCATTAGATAACACCAGCTATTAATTTCATACAGTCAACAGACTTCCTGATAGGTCTGTGGATCCCATTAAAAACTTCCTCTATCATAAAAAGAGGTAATGCATCCGAATGGGTCTATAACCTCATCAGATGCTGTTCCCTCTGTATTAAACAGGGGAATTGGTATAGATATCTGTAGGCTCTCTCTCTCTCAAACCAAACCAAAGCAGTAGGATGACCCATGTCGTGTCATCCTATTGCTGCTTCTAAACAACAAAGATCCAAACAATTTCAGACTGTCAACCATGCTAAGGTGCTGTGGGACCCAAACTTAAAACCTAAAAGAGTATTTGGTGGACATCTAAATATCAGGATTTGTTTTGTTTTAAAACTGAACAAATTTGAAAATTGCTTAAAAAAACTCCAAATCTTGATTTTCTGTGTTTGTCCGAGTCTTGGGCTAAAACCATCAATCCCTAATAGTGTTTTACCAGGGCCCCAGGATACAATGTTTCCAGATGTGACCGTGAACATAGTAAAGGGGGTGGGGTTATGGTCTACATTAAGGACATTTTTAAGTGTTCCCAAATTGAAGGGGGTTTGGAGAGACTCTTGAATGTTTAGAGACTGACCATAAGTTTTGGTTTCCTGAAATGTCATTCATAATTATTGTACTATATACGCCCCCTTCAGCTAAAGATGTGTTTTTTGGACAGCTCTCTAATGATCCAAAAAAATTTAACGCTAAAGAGGTTATTTTGATGGGAGACTTCAACATAAATTGGTTGGGCAAACAAAATAGGAAAAAACTAAAAGAAACTAGAAAATTGCTGTTTCATTAAAACAGTGCGTGAGAATGCATTTTGCAGAATGAAAATTTAGCAACAATTAGCTAAAGAACACATGAAAGAGGAGGAGGTAAAAACAAGAGAAAGATGATAAAAAGAATGGAGCAAACTAATAAACTAATCTAAACTAAGCTGGGTTAGGGTCAGCTCAACAAAGGAAATTCATCCCATACAGCTGAATCATTGTACTAAGAGGAAGCATTTATTTAGTGAGGATAGCTGGCCCACAAATCTAAAAAACAGATTTTAAAGATGCCAAATAAAATAAAAATCATCTTGTAGTTGTGTTAGTCTGACATTTCTTAAATGCTGTTTTTTATTACCCTTCTACTTTACGTTAAACAAAACTACGACAAAGAGTTTTTTAGTAGCAGCAAACGTTTCCAAAAAAGTATTCACAGATTATTTTAAGGGTGGATCTAAGTTGTTTTACTTGAGAAAAGATTTGGGATGTTTAAAGTATGAAACTTTCACAGTATTCTTTATTGTACTTTTGTGTTTTGTGTTTAGGTGTTTGCCCAACCTGCCAATGTAGCCATTACCAAGATGGATGTAAACAACTTGGCCATGGTCATGGCTCCCAACTGTCTACGTTGCCAGTCAGATGAACCAAGGGTGATCTTTGAGAACACCCGCAAAGAGATGTCCTTCATCCGTGTGCTCATCCAGCGACTAGACACCAGCTTCATGGATGGGATCTTATAGCCCCTCTCTTCACGACTACAGCCATTCACTGATCTGCAGCCTCCCTTGTGCTCCCTTTAACCTGCTCCATCATGGGCCCCTGCACACTCTCACAGCACAGGGACACCATACATTCAAATTGTTGCTGCTGTGATAAAGTAAACAAATTCAGGTTTACTTTGTCACAGCAAAAACTGCCTTGATTTGAGTTTGGCTGCTTTGCATTTTGATTTGAACTAGCTGTTTTTCTATTTCTGTGGATTTGGTCCAAATGTAATGTTGGGTAAAAACACCAACTTTTGGTTGGAGTTTTCTGAACATAACAGTACTGTGTGTGCCTTCACATCCATTATTACACCACACACATTCAGCTTGAAGATATTTGCAGGGATCTCATCACTACATGAATTTATCTAGCATATCTGCAGACCTCTCTGGTTAATTGTACATTTGTATTAAGTTATTTTCACTTTCTGCTGCCTGGCTTAAATAGACATGCACTGCCAAGTGCACACTTCCATAAAAGTTTTACAAGTCTGGTGTATTGCCATCTGATGTAAAGAAGTGTTCATCAGTGAGATAAATGAACTAACGCATGTTTATCAGACATTCCACTAATGTCTCACACTTCACTGGAAAAACAGATTTATCCACATGGTTTGGCACCAACTTTTCAAGTGGCAGAAATCCTGCCTCGTCATTATGACTCCCACTTCACTTATTAGGAGCTTAGAGCTCACCTGAAGATGAACAGAAAACCAGGCAAAATAATGGCTTATTGCCTGTAATTAACGAAGAGGAACACTGCTGACAACTTAGTCATTAGTGATGAAGATGGATACTAAAGGAGCTCCGCTTTGACTTTAGGGCGCTGGTGTTTCCTCTACTCGGGTTTTTTGAAAGCAAAAGAGAATTTTTTTTAATAAATCCCAGGGGGGGTTTTGGGCTGTTTAGGGCTAAAGTCCTTTTTTAACCCTTTTAAAATGGTTTAAAATTTTTTTTTAAAACCCTGATTCAAAAAAATAAAATTTCCTCTAAAATTCCCTCATCTTTGGTCTTTCACTTTTGGTCAAAATGTCAGATTTGCATTGCATTTTATTTCTAAAGCTTATTTGACTTGCTCCCCTCCCAAGGTCAAGCAGTTGTTTGTAACTGATTAATTGGCCATGTGGCCAGGACTAAGCAGGTGCTCGCCTTTGCTTCTAGCTGAGCAGCCTCTAGTTTTATCTTCCTGACTCAGTTCATCTTCATTGTGCCTAAATGGACCAGTAGATATGTCATCAAAGTTAGCAGAACTACATATTAGTATCATCAGTCAGACCTACAGGACGAAAATTTAGGCTTTTTAGGTGTCCGGGGGTTTTATATGCACACAATAAAATAAAAAGGGGGGGGGGGGACAACTTTGGGATTACTGTGTCCATGTTTTTTCCAGTAAACTGCTGATCTGTGGTTTTAGTTTATCTGTATGGGCTGATCTAGTGCTAATGTTGGAAGGTAAAAAATTGGGGCCCTTTTACTTTGGTCCGGGGGCACAGGGGTTAAAAAGACATCATAGCCCCCTTTGAAAGGGTTTAAAGTTTGGGTTTATGGGAAAGGGAAATCTTTTTTATGTCTATTGACTCTGACAAAATATGGTACTGTCCATCAACTTTGACTGTCGATCAGCTCTCTGCAACCCGGGAACCACAGATCCACGGAGGAGCCATGACAACAGCAGTGCCAGTGACCCCCTCTTGAACGCTTTTGGCTGCTTTGGTGCCTCCTAACTGCTTAAGCTGGAACTGAGACACAAGAGCCCAAAGAGAATCAGTCCAACACTTCCACTCAGCCCAGACAGGCCTGTCGGCTCACTAGTGATTTGTCATTGTATGAATGAGTTCATTTGTCTATTTAGAAGACGTCTCATACATCCATTCAGTCTTTGTCTCAGTAAACACTGGTGCATTTGTTGAAAATATTTTTTATATTTAACAGAATTTGTTTTTAACCAATACTTTTATAAATGGTTTAATTTATTTATATTTATTTATGGTTTTCCTAATGCCTTTGACATGCTGTATTGTAGACTTAATTGTGTATGTTGGGTATTGTGTGTGTGTGTATAGGATTGTGTAATTCTCACCATGACAGGATGGATACACATTGACAGTGCTGGTTGAATTTTGCTGTACAATTATTAGAGCCATCTAGCCCTTCAGATTTTTTTTTTCAGGGACACACATCGAACTTATTATTCCATTACAAATATCCAGTTGTCACAATGATCACTATGTCTGTAATTTGATGGAATCTGATACATTACATATTGAAGTCAACTTTCCTTGCACACATCAAATGAGACACTAAACCGATGTTTGCAAATTAGAAAATTGTTTCTTGGATCCTCTCACAATACACATCATTGCATAAAAGGAAAAACTGATGTTGATTCAGCTTATAGAAAGGGAGAATTTTAATAGCTACTCCTTGGGAATTGATATAAACTCAGTGGCCAAGAGGAATAGATGGGTGCAGACGTGGGTAGGATCCAAGAGTAACTACGAAATGGAATTCAGTTCTCAAACTGTATAGTTGTGTATTAGCAGAGTTACAAGCTGTTACTTTCTGCCAAATGTAAATGTTCCTCACATT